TACTCCCTTTCTCTTCCCCTCCTGCTGCACCCGGCCAGACATGTCGCCTATGCAAGGTCACTTCACTGCCAGAAGCAGACGCCAAGTTGAGCCAACAGTGAGGGCTGGATAAGAGACAGGCAGCACCCCGACCTCCCTCACGCCATGGGCCCCCCTCGGCCCACCCACTCTCCCTCCCCTGCCAGCTGGCTCTCCCTCGAGGTGGATTCACTTGCTTTCATCCAGCCCCTTCCAACTTCACACCCACCTACTCTCGCTGGCTTGGGTTTCCCAGTTGCAACCTGCAGCTGCTCAGCCCTCCACCCGCAGGGCTCACAGACACAAAAGGATTTACCCACCCACAGCACCACTGCCACCAACAAACTCGAGACACAGACAGAAGAGCTGACACCTAAGGCACGCGGGAATAGGCCCCCCCGACACCCACACGGAGATGCACGGATGCTGGCATTCACCCGCACGCAGACTCACAGCTGAGCCGCACTGACACGTGCGGACACACTGGCGTTCAGCCGCACCCCCAGGGACATTTGGGAGGGCTCACTGGGCTTGTTCTTCCAGCCTCTCCGAGCCTCACATCTGCACACATGCTTGGAGCTGGGCAGGAGGAGAGGCTGTAGGGAGGGGCCCTGTGCTACACACGCGCTAGTCCTTCTCTGCTTGGGACAGAGGTCTGAAGGCAAAATCTGAGCGCATCAAATGTAGTGACATCTGGAGCCCCAGTCAGCCCCAGTGGAAACGTATACAGAGTTCATTCTGATTTCCAGAAAGAACCAGCCGAGCTCAGACACAATCCAACCCCCAGAGCCTGGGTGAAATCAAGGCAGGATCCAAGCAGCATCCACCTGGTAGTCAGTTGGAATCCAAAAAGGAGAGCTCGCCAGGGCCCAGCGGAAGGCAGACAGGGCCTAACAGAAACCAGACAGGCTCAGACAGAACGAGCCGAGGCTCACACAGATCCCAGACAGAGCCCAGACAGCTCAGATCGAACCTAGACAGAGCCAGATGGGACCTAGGTGCAGTCCCCACAGCCACAACTCAGGATCAGCAGTGCCCAACAGCCTCGGGAAAAGCCCGCACGGCCGGGGCCTCCAGCTCCTAAAGCCACCCCAGCCTCCTGCCCAAGCCTGGCTCAAATGGAACTCCAGGGATTCTCCACACAGACGCTGGGCCCCCACTGTGTCGGAAAATGTGTTCAGCACTTGTTTTGAATTCCCAGACAATCCCAAACATCTGCCTGGAAAGGAGTTCCCTCTCTCTTGGCTCACAGCTGCCCCCAGAAGGTAGGGTGGTGCAGGTGGCATAAGTTGGGGATCTGGGATGTTGGGCTCACCTCTGAGGACCCACTGGTCTTCCATGATGCTCTTCACCTTCTCTGTCCTCACAAACCAGCTGTGCCACAAGGCCTCTTTTCCTTAGAGCCAAAAGCTTTCCTTTGCCCTTTCTCTCCCTTCAACCGCTCACTCAGCTGCCAGCCTCATGCAGGTCATGAGGCCTTTCCCTGGCCCAGGTGCCTGAGGACCTTCCTGTTCTCTGTCTCTCTCCCCTCTCATGCTAACGTTAGGAAGTCCTTCCTAAAGTCTAATTTCAATCTCTCTTGTCCTTGGAGCCACCTCCCTGAGTGCCTCTGTGGAGCACCCTGGGCTACCTATTTGCCTGCTCTCAAGAGACGAAGAAAGATAGAAGGCCCAAGAGGGGTTGATTTGGTATAATAATTACAAAGAGAGCTGGGTGCCAATAATCCTCTGCCATTTACAAACACTTTTACATCCATAATCCCTTTTGATCCTCAGCGCCACAGCCCTGCGAGAAAAGCTGCGCAAACATCATCGTCCCCATTTCACAGATGAGGGAACAGGAGGCCAGAGGGGAAAAAGGAGAGTGACTTGCCAAAGGGCACCCAGGCCACAGAGGACCGGAAAACCAGAGGCTTCTAGCTCCACAAAGACCCCTGTGAGGCTCCGGACTGGGTCACCTGACCTGCTGGCTCTCCACTCTCAGTTACTCTCCATCTCAGGTACTCTCTGCTCCCAGGTACTCTCTGTTCCCAGTTACTCTCTGCTCCCAGGTACTCTCCCTCTCAGGT